GGCACACCTCCTGCAGCCCTTCGCCTGTGGCAACTACCTCCAAAGAAGAGTGTGCGTGAGAAGTCGCTTTATTCTAAAAGGAGAGGGAATGAAAAGAAAAGCAAGCACTTCCAGATCCCTTTGTTTAGGCCATAACGAATACCCCTGAATAACTGTCTCTCTCTCTCTGTCTCACCTAGCATGAATCTTGCACTAAATACTAACATATTATGGTCATAATGAATGCAGCCACCAAATGAAAGGCCATTGTTCCAGGCAGGCATGTGACTTTTATTACTGCGAGTGATCAAAATCAGTTATTCTGTGTTGGGCGGGTTGAGGGGGAGCGAGCACAGAGGGAAGTTGTCAGTCAGAAGCTGAAAGAGGTCACAATGCAAGTGGGGCGGCACATGATAATGAGGAGCACTTTCCGATGCCTGACTGATTATCGGACCACGTAGAAAATGCGACACTACGCTGAACTTCAAATGCGCGGACAAAACACACTGTCATTCCAGTTAATCCACAGAGGAAAGATCCGAAGCATAGAAACAACACAACTACTGCCAACTCTCTTTAGCTCCTCTTTTCACATCTCTGTGGTTCCCAGACATTTTTAGTGAGTACAGTAGTGTTTAACCCATTGTCTAAAGAAGTCTAAGGAGAGTAATTATGGAGCGTGTATCCAGAGAACTTCAAGTACCCATGGTGAAGTTTACCCTGGCAGTGCGTGGCTATCATCCGCTAGCCACATGAGAGTTTTGGCGCAGCCAATGCAGCGTTCTAAAGCCAGCTCTGAGGTTCAGCACTGGGTCAGGAGTGTGACAGGTTACTCTTCCGGTCCGCAAACAAGAAGAGCAATGCTGGGACTTTAGGTGATATTACGGACTATTATTAGATTTAATGTGGGAGTTTATGACTGATGTAGCATTATTTGCATGTTTGTGGCATTATAACTCATGCTTCTAGCTTGCACTGCCTGTAGGGCACAGCCCATCAAAGCATACTTAAGAAGAGCATGTGACCATAAATCTAAAATTATGTCTCCAGGGTCGCGGAGTATAATAGTATGCCGTTTACAGCATGTAAATACTTTGTAGTACATATACTGTAAATAACCCATGATTTTCATATAAGTCTAAACTGAGAGCAAACTGCACAGATGGAACCATTAGATCGATATAAAAATACAAAAATATGCATGTGTACAAAGTAAAATCCCAAATGTTTAATGTCAACATTCTTAAACACTCAGACCTATTTTAAATGAAATGTCATGATTACTCAAAGGCTAAACGCACTTGGCTGAGTTTATTACTGTAAAATAGGTACAAGCTGAGACATGAAGAGGCAGATTGATGTTAAGCTGGAAAAGCATGAAATTCTACCAGTATTTCATCTCTTGAAAAATCCCTCTCATTAAAGGCAACTGTTTTTACCTTCAACTTTTATTTAGTATAACACGCCTCATTATTCAAATAATAATTTTACATGAATATATAATTATATAAGACTTTGCGTATGATTGGAGAAAATTTATATATTTGACTGAATCACAATTTAATTATTTTAATTTTCCATTTCATGTAAACTTTATAGTAATCAATTGATCAAATAAATTGTAATAATATTTCACAATATTACTTTTTACTGAAACATTTGATCAAATAAGTGAAGCCTTGGGGGGCATAAAAGACCACTTTCAAAAAACAAAACAAAAAAATCTTATGAAGTCCAAACCCAAAATTTTGAATTAAAATGTATTTATCATTCAAAGAAAATTACAAAAAGGTACAGTCAACGCATGTCTGGATGTTCCAAAATGCCTCATGGCTCAATTATCAAGAACAGAAAGCTACATAAATCACTCAGACAAGGACTGAAAGATTGCGCCTCAAACTCTCAGCATGAATAAGATCTGTGACAGAAGCAAAGCGACGCCAAGATCGTTCTGTGGAATAAACAAAGTTCAGTAGTGTAAAGGTGCTGCCGTTAACTATATCAAGAGCTCTGCATCACACTAGCCTATGAAGGAGGGTGGGCCAGTAGATGCTATCACTCAAATGAGTTAAACAGAGGATGGCCCTCAAAAGAGCCATATAAGCTCACAATGAAAGGTTATGGTCAAATGAGACAAAAATCAAACCAGTGTGGCACAAATCTAACAACCACTGCAAAAACACAGCACAAAGAAGTGTGACAAATCCTTCACTACTCAACCAACCAGAAAAACAACTAATATGCCAGGATTAATGAGTCAAATAAATTCACAACTGTCAGCAAATATGCTTATCTTAACATACTTAAGCCTACTTTATCATTTGATTCACAAATTTCTAAAGCCTATAATTGTCAACATGATCAAAACTTAACTGAAAACCCTCTTGTACACAATCTATCACATGCCTTTTGTTGTTTGATTGATGGTTCGTACGTTTTAGCAAGTAAAAGGCCTTTACTAAAGAAGTAAATGTGAAAATAACTTAAATATTGTAAGAAATATTTCATGATGAACACTTTAGTTTTAGATTTGGTTTACTTATTTATCATTCCTTTTTTAGAAAAAAAATCATGTTCGAAAGTATCAAATATGATACATCAGGCTTTTGAGGAATGTTTATTTGGAAATTTCTCAATCATCAGTGTAGTGCGAGCCAATCAAAAACAGCTTTAATCATAAAACTAAGCATTTAAATATCATCTTATCAGACATATTGGGAGATAGAGTAACAACTGGTATGCATTTTCTGTAAGTTGCCTGCTACAATAATCTCAATGGTTTATTAAAATTTGTAATTTCTAGCAATAAAAATATCAAAAACTGCACAAAATTCAAAGTTTTGCTCAGTATGGCCTTCTCACATATGAGCTCCATGTTCACCTATGAGCCACAAAAGCCAAATGTATCAAATATGACACTAAAATAAAACATAAACATTTTTAAAGAGTTTTTTTTTTAATCTAAGGGTTCAAAAAACGGTCCCATTTAAAAAAAAAATCTGACAATTATTATACTATACATTATTATTTCATGCTTTACAGGGTTAAGGTTGCTATTAATTATTACAAAATATCAAATGTACGCAGTCCTATTTAATGTGTCATTTATATTAAGCAAGATGCATATTATCCAGTTTAAATTCACCAAAAGCTTTTTGAATGGGTGGGATTTACAGACTATGATTCTCTAGATCAAATTGCCTTATTTTTCTGTCGATAAATACCAAGTTCTGGCATGCAACAGATCCAATGAGTGGCCAATGAGCTGCGGCTCAACATTCAAATACCGGAAGTGTTGCTGTTACCAGTCTGCAGAGCACTTTCTGAAACCCTCCACCTTCCCCAGCTCCACCTGTATAGATCTGCCTACGACAGGGTTATTTCAAGTATGTTACATGTGCAGCAGTAAATGTACCAACTACATATAACCTCCAATTATAATAACACTTAGGCCCCGTCCACACTACTGCGTTTTCGCTTAAAAAACGGAGAATTAAAATAAATATGTTCTCCGTCCACACACCAGCGTTTAGAATTGATCTCCGTCCACATTAAAACGACTGAAAACGTGGATCATGTGACCATTCACCAACACTGGGCATGCCTGTGTAAACAGGAAACGGGTCAGGTAATGGGTGGCTGACGAATCAGGGAAGGACACGTCATGACTGATGACACCCAATCATAGAGCCGAACGTGAGCCCCTGCGTCATCGTTTCTAAAGTCCTCAGTTTTGTCCCGTCTTCACTAAAACGCCCTCCAGAGATTCAAAACGCAAAACGGAGCTGCAGCGTTTCTAAACTTCTCCGTTTTATGTCTTCCTTTTTTCCGTTTTAGCAGACTGATCTTATGAAGTAGCGTGTGTATGACACGCCAATTCGTATTTCCATTTTTGGCGTGCTATCAACACGCATAATCGCTTTTCAGCGTGTTTATGAACGCCGTTGACTTAACGTTATTACTGTATATATAAATATATGACTTACCTCAACCCCGTCCCTAAACCTAACCGTCACTGGGGTAATGGCATTTATGACTGTTGCCTTACCATCCTAGGAAAAAAAAAAAGATCGCTCCCCAGATGTAGATCTACATTTGCTTCGTTTCGCGTGGACATTTGACGGCGTGTACAGACACGCGGAATCACTCGGACGTTAATGGCGTACACATTCACGCATACACGCGGATAGCTCAAAATGCGTAGAGATTACACGCCACTTGACTCGAAAGTCATGATGTCATGTTGGTTTTAGTCTGGACGGGAGGTGCAAACATAGCAAAAGGTCTCCGTTTTTAAACGAAAACGCAGTAGTGTGGACGACGCGGCCTTAAGCTGAATGGTTTAACCTGACCCCTGACATAACATAATTGACTTAAAATTACATCATTAGTGCCAACAAAATAAAGTCAATGTTACAGCAAAAACTAACAAGCACCTGGGAACAAGCATTCAGAATGACTATATGAACGTCCTACTGAATTAAAAAAATTGTACGCAACAATATTAGGCAACATTTCAATAAAACAAGAATGGAAGCAAACAAATTGTGCGACAGGAATCAGCAACTACTGGTATAAAACCAACATACTGTACATATGGTGCACCAACCATCTGCAGAAACTACACCTCAAAGCATTGCATAACTCCTAAGCAACATCCGACAAGTTAAGGCACAGCCTTTACCGGGTGAAGGCAGATAGGCTGTTGGCAGCGTATATGAGGGGAAAAGTACAATATGTCCTGATGGTGCATGCTTGATCCTCAATGATTACATCAAAACCGTTGGCTGAATGACGCTTAGTGGGATTAAATTCGAATGAATGGATCCTCATATTAAATGAAAAATGGCAGATCTAATAGTATTGTGCATTTATTAGACAATGAGCTCAGCTATTTCAATGCAGCAGCGTTAAAATGATTTAAATGAATTGAATGAGAATTATGGAAATGATTTAGCACATGTGAATTCTTGGGTTTTCAGGTTCATCAATCTCTACCTCAAAAGAAAGACTGAACTTACCTGGGGAAGAACTGCCGACGGGCTTAATCTCTGGAGACACACAAAAAGGAAACATACAAGACAGTTTCAAGGTGTGTTTTGAAGTACCAACAATTCTCAACAGAACATACGCAAGGCATGCATAAGGCAAATTGTTGACATGAACATAAAACCCAAGGAACTGGTACGGCACAACTGAAACAATCATTCGATATTTTAGTGTTTAATTAGGGTGAGGACGACGTAAACAAGACGTTATTAAATGCACAGCACATACCTACAGCATTATGACTTATTCTGAGGTAAAACAGGTCTCTTCGGTTAGTTTTAAAGCCTAGTGTAGTTAAAAGTAATGTTGTCAAATAAACATTAAACAGAAAAAAGCGAACCCATGGTGCTTGTTAAAAGCTACTGTTTCTAGTGCAACTCCTGTTCAGTCATAAATGTCTTAATAAATACATGCCTTTGTTTGATCTACCAGCCATCCATATGGTTCACCACTATTTAAAAAAAGTTCCCGCTGTGCTTTAAAGTCGGTGTTCATTCTTAACCAATCAAAACTATTAAAACCGGTTCAAGGTTGTGCTGTGACCTCAGATCTAAGGCAGCCGGTTCGGTTTCATTGCAAGAACGCTATAAAGGTAAAGAGTTTAGGTTCAGGATTTATATTGTCTTTAATTAAACCTGATTACGTTGTCCAATCTTATCCATATTGAAATAATAGTCTACTAAAAATACTAATAATACAAACTGCAGTGTTATATTGAGTCCAACAAAATGTTTGGGCATGCAGAGGTTCTTTAGCTATGCCTTGCTTTGAATAAAAGATGCTAAACCACAGATAAACCCCTTATAGGTCATTGAGAAGAGCTTGTGATTTACAGCTGTTACATTCATGGAAAGGTTCAAATGGCAGCAGTTCAAAGACTGGTTGAGGGGATAGTGCATGGATGCAGTCAGCCAGCCATTAGATGTTTCAGTGCCCGAAGAAACACTCAGTGTTGGAACAGGTTCAAGGATTTGGCTGCATTTTTCCTTTCAAATATGGAGCCAATACAAAAAGATATATGGGTTGGATTTATCTGTTGCTTAATTGGAAATCGCTTATCTTATGAGTTTTTAATGAATTTTTTTAGGCTCAAGGAGATCAGATCAGCTATGATTTAGTCAAGGGCGTATCATTACAACTAGGCGACCCTAGCAATTTTAGGGAGATAATACTTACTTTTCACAGACCCCACAACAACTTTTCAATGGCCATACAATAGTCTGATGATGATATCACACTTTTCAAGTGTCTCATAGTCATGCCATGTTATGATTGGGGTATAAAAGGGATGTGATTGAGGGGAAGGGGTAAATAGTTAAATACTGATGAGCTTAACAGACCCCCTGGGTTGAAGCAGGTGGAGGGTCTGACTCCACTCAAAGCAATTTAAACTTTCTAAGGAGTGAATCTACAGTGAGGCATATCTTTACCATCTGTTATGAACAAGACCATACTCTCAGTTGTTGTCAACCAGGAAATCATAAAGCTAGTCAAATTTAGTAAACAATAAAAATAAAATAAAGCAGCACAAAACTAAACTGACATATTTTTTATTTTTTGAATGACATATGATTGACAAATATTTTTTTGAGATTAAATTTTTTTTTAAGAACCACTGCTTTAGATAGTATTACAAAAGCAGCTGCCAAGTACAGTGCATACGAAATATGCTTCCTCTCTAAATAGCATGCTATTACCTCTATAAGGAAATTTCTAAATGAAAGTTATTAAATATTTCTGAGAAAATTTGAATACTGAGGCACCCCGAGTTTGTACAGGCTGAAAAACCTATATTTAATATAATAATTATACCATAACTATGGTTTTAATGACAACATTAATTGAGAGGCAAACATTTCATAAAATATTTTTTAAGTTAACTACCACAAAAATGGTAAAAAAAAATAAAATAAAATAAAAAAAATTTTAAACAAAATGGTGACCGTACCTTAGATATACACTTTCTCTCCTATATGGCAAAAATATATTTTCTAACTTGTTTCTTTTTTGGGGTTTTTTTTTTTTTTTTTAATTAAGACATTTAATTGAGAAGCAAAATGACTTAAGATATTAATTGTTTTCTGAAAAATGTATCAAAATTAAGTTTGGTTTACAAAAAATATCTGCCAATTGTTCAGAAAAATACATTTAAATGCAGAAAAGGTTTATTATTCTTCTTGTTTTAAGCATAATCACTTAATTTAGATAAAACTGAATATCTTTAGAACCTGAGAATATTTAATTTGTAGCCTGTAAAACAAGACTAAAATAATGAGTTTGCAGTGCATATTGATGACAGTTTAGATGTTATTATATTGTGTCAACCACCCAAATCCAAAAATAGTATTGATTTATATGTAAATAATCCAGACTAGCATTAGAAAATCATTACTGTCAGACGGTAAACAACTAAGGACCTGACTTTATTGTGGAGCGTTTAAATATTGTTCATAACTTCAAATTGTGCTTCCATATGCAGCATGCCTTACCTGACACAACTTCACAACTGTCCAGCAAAATATGTAGGCGGAGAGGGAAAACTTAGCCCTCATGTATCGCTCCGGTAAGCAGGCGAGATGCATCTGCACCTCATCCAGTCCCCCGTCTCCAGCAGAACGCTCCAGTTCACAGCCATGCGTCCCAGTACCGTTCCCAGCGTCAGACTCTTCCATGTTTACAATGACTTCAACAAGTTTAAAAGTTCTTTAACGGGCAAAACATGCTAACAGTACCTGTCTGCTTCATGTTGGTTGTTATTAAGTCATCTGAATGTCATAGAAGGCAAGGCTCTTCAACAGTGCATGACATTTGTGTGTAGCTACTCAACCGCAGGTGATAGTGCAATGTTTATTTCATCGCTGTCAGTAGTTAAACATATTTTCCAGCTCCGCGGCGCGACGGTGTATAAAAAGCAGTGCAAAAGTCTCTGGTGGGGTATAACAAATTCCAGCGTCCCACGTTTGTCGGTGACAGGGGTGAGAGGAGGCAGAGTTTCAGATCCAACACCTCCTCCATCTGTACACTACACCGTAAACGAGCGACGCGACGAGACAAACCAGAACGCGACCAGTATGTACAGCGAATCTGAGGACACTACTGTGAGTGTGAGCATTCGAGCGTGAATTGTAGACGGAATTCTGACGTCAACGTCCAATGGACCAATCAAAGACTTCGTTTACGCAAACAGCGCGACGCGACAAACCAAAACACTCGCTTGCACTGTAAACAACTTCAGTAATTCGGTGTGAATTATATGAGGTCAATTGGTATTTTAAGTAGGCTATAATTATACAAAAATAGGTGTTTGTTTGTTTGTTTTGTCTGAAGGACCCTCATCCAGACAGATACCCCACAATAACACTTTATGATAACTTTTATTAAAACATTAAATATTATTTTTACATTTTAGTTAAAGATCTAAACAATTATGTCTCCATGCAATATCTTCTGTGAAGTTCACAGACGTCTCTAGTTGAAAACACTGGACATACAAACATTAAGCTCTTTATTGTATTACATGACATTATTGTAATGTGATTTATTTGTATTTTTTCTGGTCTTAAAACACAGCCGGCGCCAGGCCTGATACAGGGCTCTGTTCGGTTACTGTTGTTTGCTTTGCTATTGTTCTGTCTATGAAGCAATGTCTGAGCTAGTCAATACATACAGTGCTGACACCTCAGCTCATTTACTTTGGAAAAGAGCCAACATCTGAGTTTGAAATCAATCACAAATACAAAAAAAAGACAATGTAAATGCACATGGATTCATAAATAGGTTTTTATTAATACTCCAGTCAGGCAAGCACATCAATATATTGCACAGACCTATGATACTTGTCAAAATAACCATTCCAACAGTATCTGCACTTTACATAGTTTATAGCCTACAATATCATGCAACACATTCGTTTTGCAATATAGTCAATCATATTCTTAGGATATTGTCAGTCTTTCATGCTATTATCTGTATCTAATTCTTGGATTTTGACAGCTTATCCTGAGAAGTAATAGAATTACAACTTTACAAGAAATACAGCGACACATATAACAATTCAATTTTATCAAATAATATGAAAACAAGTAAGCTATCTGAAAAGCTTCTGTTCAATGCTAACATTTTTAATGCCAAACTACAGTGCTTTTATTGAGGATTATCATTGCCATTGGAATACTGACACCCACCCTCCCTGTACCAGATGTTGTTACGGTTGATGCTGATCTAATGGAAAACAGGTTGAGGCCCTGAAATATAATACTTTACTAATAGCTGCTTAGGTTTTGGCAAAGGGCTTCTTAGGAATTGGCTTCCTTTTGATTAGAGCAACGATTGCATGCATACAGACAATTCTATGGAGGTATCCAACTTAGATTTTATCCTTTCAAAATATGAAATTTTGATTTATATACACATTCCATCACCATAAAGAGAATAATAATGGCCCAAATAGTTAAGTTCAATGTTTACAGATATCTACCCCAATATAGATGTGCAGACATCTATATTTAAGCAGATAACTTTCTGCTCAAAGATAGATGTGAAGACATAGAAAAGTCATACCAGGGGTTGAATTTATGGGAATTCTGTTCAAAAACAACCCCAGCTGGACTTTGGCGGTCAAGGTTTAGTTGTTGAGTTGAAGTATTTACCAAGTTCAAAAAAAAAGGCCGAACTGGCAGAATTGCATTCCAAAATGGACAAAGACGACAAGTAAAAGTGCCACCTGCCTTCTTTGTGAAGAGGCCTACTATGTATGAATGGAGCCTTTTTTTGGTAGCACTCATCAATTCTGGTCACATCAGCCAGATCAGAGGCGTTCTTTCAAAGGCCTACTTTACCTCATTTATTCACTGAAACACAATTATTCGTCTCTGTTTTAAACTCTAATTGGGCAAATGAAAATGCAGACTTGATTCCATTGCAATGTCTCCAGCTGTCCCAATCCTTTGAAGGAAATTGGCCTTTTCTCTTCCAAACTCCAGAATAGAGCTTTTCAAATAGCTTGTCAGATTGTTTCGATATGCAAAAACAACGCAAGTATAACTTCCCACAATGTATTTTAAATTCCGTAAGTGAACTTGTGTTTCAAAAAGTTTTCTCTATTAAGACAACAGTTTAAAATGTGTCCGTTGGACATTAATAAAGTGTTATAGTTATTGCACTAGTATGTCTTTGATCCTCGGTTTGAAAACTAGAGTAATATAAAAAAATAGCAGTGATTGCAGAAAAACTATGGAGAGAGAAAAACACTGATATGACAGGTTTCAGACAAATGTTACATCTCCAACAAACAGACCTGTTGTTATTCCAGACTGACAGTGTTGCTGAGTTGACAGTAAAATGAGCAAACATGTCAGATTTCTTGAGGAAAGATAGAGACTTTGACAGCTGGTAGAGAGGTCGGAGGGCTGAGGTACTGGACAGAAGAAACCAGTTTGAGACAGTCAGGATCCACAAAATCAGAATCTGTACTGGAGATATAATAAAACGAATTAGGAAGCTCAAAGGATCTCACCAAGAAATGCAAATAAATAATTAAATAAGACACCAAAAATAAACAAGACATTAACAAAAAACAAAAAAATTAAGACAAAAAGACAAAAAAAATTAAGACATTCGATTAAGAAAACATTCTTAATCTGATATAGAGTATAAAAATCATCCAATTTTCTTTTATATATTAGCGTAAATTAAATTCAGTACAACCAATAGAGAGATGTACCTTTATAATTACATTTTCCATTTTCAATTGAAATAATACAAAAGTACAACACATTAAAGTTCATTTTTAAACATTACAATATTGAGAATGAGAATTTAGGCAGCAGATCTCTAATCGTCAGGTAAAAAATGTCCTTTATTTTTCTTTATGTAAAATATAATTTTGATTTTGCAGGTGAAATATGTGGTGACAGTTTCCGTGAGATTCATGCTGTGAGTCTATTATTCATCTAGTTCATGCGACAAAATTTCACTTGTCATTGCAAATTATTTGAAGCAGCTGCACCAGATAAATGACTATACTTTGAGACAAAATTGTTTTATGCAAGCATCAAGGGTCTACAGTTCTAGCAGTGAAGTCTATATCCTTTCCCATCCCAATGTCCTGCACGAAAAACTAATTCCATCCCTCAATATTGACACAGTCCCCCATTGTGTCCCACATCACTGGACTAAATCGTCCGTAGTGTCATGCAACCAAACTAACACCATGAGGCTTATTCCCTAAGCCAGAAAACAGAACAGAGTCCTGTTCAGCATAACCTCTCTCAATGGGTAGCAGTCAGCCAGCTCTATACATCTGCTCTGTAGTGGCTCCCGGGTTGCTAAGAACACTCCCAGGAGCACACTGATGGATTATAGACCAGTCAAAGCCAACATGAACCTCTTCCCCTCTGGCTGCAAGCCGAACCTGCTGGAGAGCAGCAGGGGCGTGGTAGTGGGGGGAAAAGTGGACCTGACTACCCAGGGCCCCGTCTAGGGAGAGGGCCCTTTGAAATCCCACCAATTTAAAAAAAAATTTTTTTTAAACCTAATTAGAATTAATTGGGCCCTCCAATTGATGTCATTAATAATAATTTAAAAAAAAATATTGACCAAAATGAACTCAGTGCCAGACACTCTGGACCCCCTTCCAAATGGTTTAGTCCGCAACGCGTCGACCGCCCATAGACGCAGCGGGCGGCAAACAAGTAATAACGCAGTGAGCCTAGAGCCTGTAACGGGAGCCTGATCTGATCATGCTGTGCAAAAAGCCCAAATCGGGCTTTAAAAAAAAGAAAGAGAGGAAAGAAAAAGATAGGAGGCAGAATGCGGGGAAGCAGCCGATGACTGCTTTCTTCCCAAAAGGTGAACTGAGTTTGCTATATGCACCTAACGTTACATCCAATAAAGTTAACGTAACTTAGTCAACTCCAGACAGCTGCTGCTAATGCAGGGTTCCAGACTGCGACCAAATTGGTCTCATATGCGACCATTTTTTTGAGAATTTGATTGTGCGAGTTAAAATTGTATGTGGTCGCGTCGCATATATACGAGTGGACGCTCGCGCAAAAGAACACCGACCGTTGTATCAGCTGCTGCAGACTGCAGTCCGTAACTTATGTTCAAATCGAACGAGTAGGCTACATCATGAACCCATTTTCCAAACCGTGTTTTTGACTTATCCTGAATCACTACGCCTGTTATAAGTGTTTATATTCGGACTATTTTTTTATCCCGGATTCCCGGGGTTGACTCGGATGCGAAGTTGCCCAGTGACTGCGTGACTCGCCATAGACATTAATGGAGAGAAGTAGCTCCGGCAACAGTGTTCTTCCGCAAGACACATAGACGTCACGCGCGCATTGCACACTGATGGTGGAACACGCCAATTACGAATTCATGAATAAAAATATAAAAATGAAAATGTCTCAGGAAACAAATTATTACAAAATGCAGGAGGAAGGAGTGTGAGATTTCTGATTTTTGAACTAACTTATAAAATTTGATAACGAAAAATCTGTTTTAGCTTGTTGTAATACTCTAATCTTTTAAAATGTAATGTACATTTGAATGTTTAATGATTTTTAAAAGATAGAAATATGATGCTAATAGAAAAATGACAGACACAGAAGATTATGATTCAAATGTAAATAGATAGATTGAATGTAATTCAAATGTAAAATTCTTAAAATTACAGATTAAAATTACTGTCCAAAATCCATGAAAATCCTGAAATTTGGCAATGATAATTAATATATTACAGGTATTTATGGTAAGCCTTTGCTGGCTTTGGTCCATTAAAACCACTATTCATCGGCATGCATTGATTAATCCCATGGCATGTAGCAAAAAAAATAAAAAATAACCGCGACGAAATCAAATGAGAAAGTTGGTGGCATCAGTTTAACCTGGTTTCTGAGGGTACAGTTGTCTCTCGTGTTCTTGTGTTCTCCTATTTAAAAATAAATGTTTTTCATTTAAAACTTGCATCAGTATCATGGATCAAAATGTTAGTACACAAAACCGATGTAGCCTAAGGTTTAAAGGTATTTGAGCACAAGTAGGCCAAATGCATCAATTCAGGTGGTGAATGAAAGAACCAGTCATTACTATAATCTGATTTTATTATTTAAACACTGTTTATATTTGTTTATATTCAAATAATTAAAAAAATACATTTCATTCAAAATTGAATTTTCACTTTGCTAACCCGCATCGTACAATGCCATGTGTATAGGGGGCCCATTGACATTGAGAGTGTACAGGGCCCAGAATTTGGTGCTACGCCCCTGGAGAGCAGCATCAGATGAGACAAGCATGCGTAGAAAATGTCCTGCTCTGATGGAAGATAATGTATGAGGAAATACAGACAGGCTTAGCCTGAATTTGGTGAAGAAATTCACGTGGTTTAAACGTTCTGTTCAAGCTCACACTGGGTTTTTTGGAATCATGCATAGGTTGTCAAATGTCTACTGCCACATAGTGGCCAATCGGTACTTTTGCAGTGCAAACATAACACGGTTTCATCTGTAATCCTCTCATTCTTATCAAGGTTAATTAAAAACAAACATCTACTATTCCATAATAAAACATGTTTGGCTGAACTGTGCCCCCCACTGTGCTGCAAGTCACTTAGATTGAATACATGCCTTTATATTTTCCAGATGCAAGAAAACAGCTGTCTGCTATGTGAAGATCCACTGAGAGCTCTACAGGAAATAAAAGTATGTCAATAGACCATTCACTACTCATATTCAGCCCCGAGACCATGATATAACTATTCAAAATAATACAAGCATACCTCATGGCAGGCCAAAATTCAAATGCATTTCCTGTTAAGGAAACACAATTGTGTGTGTAAAGTTGTACACTGAACTGTTCTTGGAATTGAATTGTTTTAAGTTGTTGTCTATTATTTTTATTTAAAATAAATAGTGTAATCAGCATCTTTAAAGTCATATAATGGAGGTTTAGGGGGTCCACGTCAAAGAGCATGAACAGAGAAGTCCAAATTATACATGATTTAATGACTTGTAAATGTAAGTACACATTGATGGCCTAAGACAAGAAACGAGTGGTTTGTGTGAGAAAACGAACAGTATTTATATCGTTTTTATTTATATCGACCCCCTAAACCTCCATTATATGACTGATAGACAACAACGGTTTGACCAAAAAATGTCAAAAGTGAAAATAATGTGGAAACAAAGACACATACATCTTGGATGCTCTTGAGGTAAGCTAAAACATATCAAAAATTAATTTCAAAGTGAACTATCCCTTTAAGAATCACAAAATGTATTGTGTTTAATTAATGCTTGAAAACAAGCAACATTGTCATAATTCTAGCATACCAGAATAAATATTTAAAAAATATATTTTGTTGCAAAGTGGGGGACTTTAAATCAAAAAGGTTGACAACCACTGATCTGGAAGATTCACATGACAAGCACACGTTCTTTGAGTGAAGGTACATGTAATAACCTGCAGTATTTGTGTGTGTGTGTGTGAGTGTCAGACGGCCTTATTTAATTATTTACAAGCTATTCTCCTCAAATTCCATTTACTTTCTGTTTCACTATTCTGATTTTAAATTATTAAATATCATACATCATATGTTCTTATTTTAGACACACAAGTCCTAATCACTAAAAACTCTTAGCAAAACATCAAAACAACCCTACACATGAGACGCATAAAACAATTCCATGAAAGAACTGTAGCCAGTACACCATCAGAGCCTTAAGACTTCATTTCTGTAATGTATTCTAGTGTAATGTGTAAAACGTAATAGCCTGTAATGATGTAAGCAGTACACAACAATACAATCTCCACTCTCATGCTGGTACACTGCCAATATACTGAGAGCTTTCCCATCCATGTGCTGTTGCTATGGTTTCAAGATATCAGCTGAAATATATAACAAGAAATGTAGGGAGGATATCTGACCTTGAACACTAAAGCAGCTCTGCTACCCTTAGTGCTCATTCATTTACTCCAAACCCTCTCGCCTAGAGAACTACTGTATAACTCTGAAGCTGCTATGCCATTTCTAAAGGAACAAATCCAACGCTTGATGTCTTTTTCAAAGTATTCATATCAACATATATCAGTAGACCCTGCAGCTCTTTGTGTGTGTGTGTGTGTGTGTGTGTGTGTGGTATAGTTTGCATAAGAGTAATAATAGACCAAATGTCTAAAGCCCTTCCCTCCCCTGAAATCCTAATTACAAATGCAGTCCATCAATGCTCAGTGACGCACACACCAAACAACCCATAGATGAGAGTCTTCAAGCATGTCTGCTGACCCATGCAGCTACAGCAGTATAATTCCCAGAAAGCCTTGAAATGCTGAGACACAAACACTTCCCCTGACACAAGCACAAAACAGTGACCACTCACCCCTTATGATGTAATTAAGAGTAGAGGTTTTAAATCTGTAATATAGTGGATCTGCGCTGTTGTGATAGGCAGCGTAAAACAGCACTGAACTTCATTACATACTACAGTACATAGACTATATTGAACAAGCTTTAAAGAGCATAAGATGCTGGGAGGTATATATAAAGCATCACAGGTTGTGTGTCTTTCTGTCTGACACCTCATTATGCACTGATGCAGGCCTTGACAGCCTTACAGTACAGGATGCCAATTTGTTCACCTCTTGCCATTGCTTGTGAGTGAAATGAAGGAGAATATGCTTGCTGTGAGTATACCTGCAAGCCATGTGAGAATTTGAGAGCGGGATAAAGGACTAAGTGACATGTTTCCTCTGAAGCATCACTAGCACAGGTTCTTCTCAAGCACCCCTACAGTCATTAATAATGCAACTTTTCTCAGCTCTATTTTTCTTGCAATGATTTGGACAGCTACAAAGCAAACAAATACATGTAAATGTACAGGATGCATTACTTTATGCATGTCAAGACTCAAGAGTCAAGACCAAATGTCCTAAACCACAATAAGAGTGTGAACACTTGCAATTTACAGCCTTGGAAATGTTTCATAAAAACATTAAAGAACTGGGTAGTCAACATGACATGAAGCTGTGTCTTGCAGTGTGACATGGATCTAAATGCATGTTCCAATTATAGCATAATTATATATATTTTATCAAAATTTTTAGAAAATATTTTTTTCAAATAAATTGAAATATATTCTAAGTATTTTATGTGCATATTACATTGCTGCCACTGTCAGATAGATAGATAGATGGATGGATGGATGGATGGATGGATGGATAGATACTGTAGACCAGTGTTTCCCAACCCTGTTCCTGGCGGCACACCAACACTGCGTGTTTTCTTTGTCTCCCTAATCAAACACACCCGATTCAACCCATTAGCTCATTAACCCACCTGATTATGAGCTGATGGGTTGAGTCAGGTGTGTTTGATAAGGGAGACAAAGAAAACACGCAGTGTTGGTGTGCCGCGAGGAACAGGGTTGGGAAACACTGCTGTAGACAGACAGACGGACGGACGGACGGACGGACGGATGGACAGATAGATAGATAGATAGATAGATAGATAGATATCCAGCACCTGTTTAATATGGCCTTTACTTCTTCATTCTGCATCTTCGTTCTACTTTCCTATCCTCTGGAAAGACACTGCATGATCCCTCAATATTCACAGGAGCGTTGTTGCGATGACGCAACCTATGCTTCTTTTTGGCTGGAGTTCCCTCTGCCATCTCATTTAAATGGTCAATGTGGTGGTCCTCTCCGCAAGAAAACTCCAAAGAGGCAGAGGCCATGAGAGGAAGAGATGTAGGCCTGGTTGCTTGGTATACGTCTGTGTCACCAGATTCAACAGCACATGAACCGTACGTTTCCAGAACCAAATCATTGGAAGCATTAGTAGTGACAAAGCCAAGTCCTTCAGTCTCCAAAAAGGAAGGTTTCACATCTTCAGAAAAGCTAGACGGCCTCAAGCGATGTCTAGCATTCAAGGCTCTCTCGGTAGTTGCCACTGGTCTTTTCTTGTGTTTTGACTTAAGGTATTTTTGAGATTGTCCTTTGTTCCTTTTTACCCCTTGCTCAGATACAGGGACATCTCTTACCTCACAGCTTGAGTGATTTTGAGTAAAGTTGATCTTCATATAAGACAACTGACTAGCACACTGCTCAACAAGGGAAGCTATGCTGATGTCACTTCCTATCCCGCAGGTGCTGGCTGGGGATAGTAGATCGCTGGTTATTGGCTGCGGAGTTAAAGTGAGCCTGGGAAGACTGGCACGGGCCCAAAGGTCTGACGTTTTGATATGCTCAATCAGGGACATACAAGAACGGCACAGGTGCAGATCTTTAGCTCCGTTTTTCAGGGAACTCTTGCAAAATTCACAAAGAGATTCCTTGTTTATGGCCAACACAAACAAAGACTTTGTCCCAGAGCCAGGGGAGCTTACTACTGGAGACTGCAAATCTCCACCTGGAGTCATTGGAGAGTCGACATTGAATATTCTGAAACACACACCACTCGTTGGGGTCTTGGGTTGATTCTCTGGAGAGGCCAATGTTGACATCACTGTGTTTGCATCATATTTTAAGGGCTGAACACCAACAATTTGCTTACTTGGCTCTTTAAGATTAATTGTATCTCCTCTACCATTAACAGTTCTTGCTCCTCTTGGTGGTTTTCTAACCCTTGCTGACTGGGTTTTGCATCCCAGAAATAAATCTCCTTCAGCACTACTTTGTGAAGATCTTAGGTCTGTTGGGTTGTTTTTGTCTGTCCTATGCTTCAGCCAGTTAACTATACCCATAGCCAGAGATATCTCAGTGTCGCAAAGCTTTAGTAAGCAATCCTTCCCCGTCCATTTACTTTCCAGAAGCTCTTGACCAACAAAGTCCCGAGCCAAAGGTGGGGCAAGATTTTCCTCTGCTCCAACGTGGAAGCTGTACATGGATAATGGATAATCACTGCACTGGCCAACAATCCTGTCTGTTAGGTTGATTTCATCATCAAAGATCGGGGTTATTTCTGTCTCGCTGGGGTCACAGAATAGCTCATAAAGAGCATCTCCACTGTACGTGTCCCTAGGGATCTTGTTGGAATGCACTGGAGTGAGGGAACTTCTGCTGTGGTCCTCAAAACCAGGAGACACATAATCACAGTAGCCCTCATCACTGGTGTTCCCTTGGTTGTCACTTTTAGGAGTTACCACATTAGTATTAAGTTCCCTGATCTCGGATTGTACAGATTGGGGTGTATTTACCATTACATCTTCAGACGTGGATGTGGAAGGAGATTTCATGACAGGTGTTGTGGGTTTTGTTACATTTTCCGTAGCTTTTGAGCTGTGCCCTAAATGCAAAGTTCTGTTTAGGGTTTCCCACAACCCAAACATGTCCAATACCTCACCATGAGCTGGAGAGGCCAGACACTCCTTTCCTCCCTGTAAACCTGCAGTAGTAGGGCTTCGCCTCGGAGCTTCAAAGGAATCTTTGTCACGCTCAGGGCTAAAGATGCCCTCCGGAGATACAAGATCATCAGCAAATATCTCACCACAACCAGCCTGAGATCCAAAGCTTTTTAATGAGGCAGAATCCTCACAGACATTGGCAAAACATTCACTGGAAGAATCGGAGGGAGTCTCACTGAAATTATCATTGTACCTGCTTCTTGCAAGTGCATGTTCTCTGTGCCTTGCCGTCTTCCTCGTACGTTTCAATGTTGGAACATTTTCACCTGCAACATGGCACGGTGTACTCGGTGAAGTAGCTTTCTCATGTTTGTGTCTTTTGTGAACGAATAAATCCTTAATGGCCTTTCTGGGCTTCCTCAGGGAGATCCTCTTTTTAGGAATGGATTTGGCTATGCAGGGCACAAAGGGCACTTGAGGTGTTAGGTTACGATAATCAATGATTTCGTGACTGCTGCCAGATGTATCCCGATTCTCACGAAGCAACCTTAGAGGTGCCTCGAATCCTGAAAAGCTGACACTGGTCACTAGCTTATGGTCATGGCGCCAGTTGGTCGCATCTTTGTCTCTAGGGCTCTCAGTTGGCTGCGGTCTAATTTCTCTCACACAGTCATGGGTTCTGCTTCTTTTAACAGAGCCACGGAGTCGTCTGTGACCTTTTGAGAGTGTGTCACTAATCTCTTGCGAGTGTACGTCCAGAGTGTCTGGCACAGGCAGTGAGTATGGGCTTTTATCAGTGCTCTGTATATTCACAAATCCATTATTCGGGGTGTTATGAGATTTGTGCTCTTCAGGCCATTTACATCGGCCATGTGCCTTACTTGACCTCTTTGAATCATCTGAAGTGTCTTCGCTCTTTGATAGCTCCATGTTTTCATATACATAACTGTAATTGGATGCAAGAAAAATACAGGATAAATAATGATAATTTATGACATTTTAACATTGACATTTAAGATCAAGAATATTTCAAATGAACCTAATAAACAGAAACAATAAAAAAAACAAGAAAGTACACTACATCTCTTCAATCACAAACAAGCTATTTATGACTCAGCACATGCTCAGTTGAGTCTCTCTATGCCTGATAAAAGTGTGATTGCTTATTATTATTTTGGATGTCTAGTATTTTGTTATAATGTTTGATGCTTTTGAATCTAAATTGGCTATGAAGTTGGTGAGAAATTTCTACATGCAATAGAGATTTACAACAAATCAATATTCAAAACAAGGCTGAACATTATTTCACGCACACACACACAAAGATGAAAACTGCTCTTACCAACGAATCAATATATTCACGTGAAAAATAATTTAAACTCATTTCACATAATTATAATGCGGGTCGACCGCCTGACAGCTGAAAGATCTTCCGTACAAAGGTAAAAAAAACTAATTATTAATAACAAGTAGACAATCTGATGATGTTACTTTTGAAGTGTGTATTGCTCACTAATACTTGCATTGCTCACTATTATGACGTAATCTTTCTCAAACTTAGTATTCCTAAATATACAGTATGATTTGTAATAACAAAAACTGTAACAAAAGTGTTACAGTTGGTCAGTTCTGCCCTGTTATGATTCTTCTCAGATTGAAACACTGTTACTTATAATTTCTTTTAATTCGATTTAAGGACAGTCTATAGCTTATAAAATAGGTCACATCACACGTGTATATTATTACAAGCCTTACATGAATTCGCAATAAACAATAACAGGGCGTACTAACGGTATGAGCCAGTTGCAAATTCCTCAAAATCCCAAATGCCACTAGCATTATGGAAATAACTCATAGCCTATTTTATCGTGCACTGCCAAATGACGTGCAGCTCGTCGTTCGATTTCTTTTGAGCGACGCCTTGAAATACACGTTTTACCCTTCAAAAAAACAACTGAATTCTAATAAATAAACCGCATTGGCATTCCATTTGAACGTCATTTCAACGCTCATTTTAATACATACCTGAAGCAGATTGTGGCAGAAGGCGTTTGGCGGGAGCTGGTGGTTTACACGCGCGTGACAAGATGGGATGCTCTGGCTGTCAGCGCGCGTGTGAAAATAATTACGATAACCAATCACAAGACCGCAAAACAGCATCAGCGCTTCCTGATCATAAGCATGGATACAGGCAGCGGCGAGACGTTCTCACACTCTGTGTAAAGTGAAATATCACTGAAAGGCTTTCACAACATGTCTTGTGAAATATAAAGCCTCCAGCTTAGCTGAAAGGGGAATATTAACCAAAACCTGTTTATCTGCATGCAGGCAATTTGAAGTGCATGTTTAGTGCTAAAAACATGTTAGTGTTCAGCACTAGTGCTCATATTTTACCTTTAATTCCTTCAAAACAGAACACATATGATATGAAAGAAGATTCTTGAAACATAAATGAAATTTAATTAACCTATTGAGGAACATTGAAAATAACAGTGACAAATATATCAAAATACAGAAAAAAAAAGTATGGAACTAAACAGAAAGCTTATGTTGAGTTTTGGTCTCAAACTCTTAAGTGCAAATGTCCTTCACAGATAAGGACCCCATCCAAGGTACATAAGGCACAGGAGATTATCATCAGTGGCTTCTTGAATGAGGTAGTGTGCATGGCCCTCAATGGACAGAGGTAAGCCCATCACTTTATTTCTGCTCTTGATCACTCCCTGAAGACGCTGCTCAATGTCCAGAACATGAGTCTTAGCCTAGAGTGGGACAAAATTAAATCATGAAATATTTCTTTACAACTATTACTTAAGCTTGTTATTTAATCTATAGTTGAAACGCAACAGCTCAAATTGCACATAAAGATGAAGCACTTACAGTACTCAAAGCAAGTGTATTCCAACCATAATGCCTTATGTTTACTTATAATTCAATCCTGCTTAGCTGAATATAAAATGCATTTAATATACAGATATGCATCCTCATTCAGGCTGAAGCAACTGATTGATGAAGTACCTTCTCATTGAGGATCTCTCCAGATTCATTAACTTGTGTCTTAGAGGAACCCTTGACAGGCTTGCTCCACTCCACCAAAGGATCATGCAGGAATGTTTTTAAAACACTGATAAGGAATATAAAAGAGATAATTATGCAATACAAATACTTTATGAAATACCCAACATAGAAAAGATATTTGGTTTCAGGGATGTTATTCATGCACTTCTCATTCAACAATCATATTAGAATGATTTTTGAAGGGTCATGTGACAATGAAAACTGGAGTTATTTTAAATAGTAATAATATTGGACCCTTGACCCTTCAAAAACAAACCCTAAACCTCTGAATGCTAGTGTAAGTTCTGAGATGTTCACCTCATGAGTGGCTCTCTCTGGTCCCTCATGAGTCTGAGTGTGACTTCACAGGCCTGTCTGAACAGACCCTCTGTCCCCATGGGCCCCATTGCATGAACCATGTTCTGAGTGAGCCGGAAGGGAACCACCTCAGGAACATCAAATGTCTCCCCCTTAAGCACCACACAACACATTTGTTCTAGTTACTCAGAGGTACCAAGTATTCAAATTATACAGACACATTCCTCATGACTTCTCAAACCTTGTTGAAGAGGCAGTTGAAATCCACATGAACGGACTCGCCGGTTAAAGAGTCAAACAAAATGTTCTCTCCATGGCGATCGCCAAGCCCAAGAATATAGCCCACCATAGACATGACCGCAGTCGAGCGACAGTAAGCAGACCTGCTGTTGTACCTGTGAAATGCCACATTTGTCCCATGTGTGAAGATGTTCATGTCGGTGAATTTCTACTGAATTGCCCTAAGCTCACTTTTAATAGACAATATTAAGAAAATAATAGCAAAGATATTGTGAATGCGAGTAGTAAAACAGCCTGTCATATATACCAAGAGGTGGGATCAGGAAATGTCCGTAGGAACCACTCATGAAAGACCGGTGGGTGTCTGGCACACAGCACATCTTTGTGCAGCTTCAGCTTCTCCTCAAAAGAAGCTGTTTTGGGCAAAAGCAGCTTACGCAGCTCCGTCCCACTGACATAGATCCCTGTTTAAAAGAACAAATACATTTTCACTCAGCTGAGTCCAAATGACTTCATGAAGACACTGACAGCCTGAATAAACTGCAGTTTAAAATGGATTCTGATTGGTTAATCAGTATTTCATGTCCATATACAATAGAATACTGTTCAAAAGATTGGGGCCAGGAATTTTTTTTGGAAAGAAGTATTTTATGCTCACCAAGGATACATTTATTTGATCAAATATACATTAAAAATAGTAATATTGTGAAATATTACAATTTAAAATATCTATTTTATTCCTTGTGATGCAAAGCTGAATTTTCAGCATCATTACTCCAGTCCTCAGTGTCACATGATCCTTCAGAAATCATTCTAATAGGCTGATTTGCTGCTCAAGAAACAAGATACATGTTTTAGAGGATTCTTTAATGTACAGAAAGTTCAAAAGAACAGCATTTATTTTGAAATAGAAACTTTTGTAATACCTAAATAAAGGTATTAATTTCTTTAACAAAAATCTTGACCCAAAACTGTTGCACTGTATATTAATTTATTTGGCGAGTAGCCATGTAATAAGCAGGATAATGTACTGTTAGAGCTGGTCATTATCCAAAAAAAAGCACTTGAAAGTGATACAGTGTTTATTTTATGATAATGACACGCTTTCTGTGAGTTTCTGACCACAAATATTAAATGTGATTAAGTGCAAAGTTTTAATTAAACATTAAATAACAAAATGTTAAAAAGAAGTCACGTAACAAATTTCAAATTTACAATCAGTTATGGATTAAAGGAGCTGTATGCAAGATTGTAGCCAAAACTGGTACTGCAATCACTTTCAAATTAGGGTGTATCCCCGCCTTCCCCCATGACTCGAGGTTGCCAGATATGCTGCAGGATCCAGCAGGAACGCAGGCTGCTACAAGAAGCTTCCAATGGCAAGTGACGAGTCCTACACAGTGATTTTTTTTTCTGTTAAGTATTTACTTCTGACTTGACAAAGTATTTCGGATTCATATCGAATTTTGGGGGGTTTCGCGACGTTAGAATTTTTTTTATCTGATTACGACACGTTCGTATCTGCACCTGTGGTAACTAGAGAAGAGCTGGCAACCCAAATGCCGCAACACTACTGACTCCGTGATTGGTAGATCGGTGGAGGTTGGAGCATCAGAACAAAACACAACATGACAACATCAACACCAGTCAAGGGCTGCAACTTCACTTTTTAAATGACAATATCCTGTCCGGACTACTGTTGTCAGTGATAAGTATTTGAAATGAACATGATTTCTTAATGTCTAGTGGCATATCAGGGAAAATTTATGATTAATTGAAATAAATTTATTGCATACAGCTCCTTCAAAGTTATGCATGGATTATGGGTTAAATCCCAGTCCACTGTATATCAGTTGAGACTATGAAATCAGCACACCTTTCTCTTTATACAGCTTTGTGAGGATGTGGCGTAAACCCGCTGTGTTGTTGACCCACTCTATTATGCCGCACTCTTCATTCAGAGGGATGACGGCGTACGTTCGAATGCGCAGATCCCTTCGTCTAGACTCTGCATCTTTCCTCAAAGACTAAAAAAAACAACGGCACATTTTTATTATGCAAGTTTTCGGGAAAATGCAATAAATTATTGTGGTATTTAGCGAACAGCGCAACCTTATTAATGAGACAGTTGAACTCCATCAGCCTGCAGTCTTTCCTCAGGTCATCTTTGGGTTTGCACATCATGGTGTAGAACTTTCCGTCCGAGCCTTTAAGCGAGATCTTTTTTGGCTTCTGCAAGGATGCCAAGATCTCCACCTTTTTGAAAGGAAACGAATAATGATATCATTAATAGTGAATCTTTTAAAATGAGAGGGAATGTGATGCATCATGTGCCCAAAAAACTGGGGAATGGTGAAACTGACGGTGTCGTCGAAGCCGGCGAGGTAGACCCAGTGCCCTGGAAAGGCGTCGTGTTTGGGGTTGGCTCCTCCAGTGGAGGGCAGGGTGGGTATAAGGACAGACTGCAGGGGGATGAGGATCTGACTGAAAGTGGGCTCTTCCACCAGTTTCTTCAGCATTTTGAAGTGTATACTCATGCTGAGGGTGCTGCTGTTTCCATCCACCTACACAATTACACAAAAACAGTTTATAACTGCATCCATAATATGCAAGACCAATTGATTACATAAATGAATTTTGAATTATGAAATACTACTAAATGCATAAAAGCTGTTTTCTTGCGAATTAAAATATTATTCTTTCGCTAGTGGTACAGTTTTCCCCTACTGGTTTATTGCCGAGCTCCACCAGTTTGTCAGTCAGTCTGTTGGCATCTCCGATAAATTTCCCAAATGAGTTATTCAGACTGATGGCCTTCTTCAAGATCTCCTTGCATCTGTTCATTCGAGTCGGATAGGAGGACTAAAATACATTTTAAAAAGCATATAAACAATTAATACTTGTGAAAAGACATTTATAGTTATAGATGTGGCTGAGGTGTCTGACCTTTGACACAGCAGTCATCATCCACATAGCTTGTTGTGGGTAAGCTAAGAAGACTTTGGCAACAATCTCCATCAGCACAGCGAAGACCTCGTTGTTGGAGTGGCAGATTCGGGAGATGAGCTGTGAAAAGGCTGTGAGGAACTGGTAAGGCAAGAGGTTGCTGGTGTGTTCGCTGATGACGGAATTGATTTTAGAAAGTTCAGCCCGCATCTGGACTCTGTCAGAGCGGCCAGCTGGAAAAGATGGAGCAAGCAGGATTGTTTTAATTAGAGCAGTGAATATTTGGTTTGATAGTCAATCGATTTCGATTCAAAAGCATTTTGAATTGGACCTCAAACTCACAGTGACCCAATTCGAATCAATACGCATACAATAATTCTGTATTTTTACATGAGAAATCAAATTGGCTTTGATCTTTTGACTTTTAAGAAGTCATGCAAGTTTCATAGCTTAAAACATCCTCATTACAAAAGTATACATTTAATCAAGCTCCAAAAATAGCTCATTTTGATATTGCGGTATCTGTGATGTAACATGAGCAAATATAAATGCATGTGACTGGCTCCAGAGCAAGACATCGATGAATAGTTATACATCATC